GGGAAAGAGGCAGTCAACTTTGTAGATAGTTTGTCAAATCTCCTACAGCCTCTGATTTGTCTTGGTGTGCATGAACAGCAGTCTCTCCAGTAATAATAAAACAAGACGGTTACAAGAGATTTTGGTCTCAGAAGTTTAGCAGTCTACTTTCCAAAATACAATCCTCCAAAAAATCAAAACTTAGTGGATGCAGAACTATTTGTTCCCCAGTTTTCAATACCTTCTCATGTGCAATCTTTTGCAACACCATCATTCAAATTAAAAACCACGGTAAACACAAGCTATTAAACAGCAGCTCATAGAGCTAATGTTGCATGCCCGGTACACATGACAACACCATTGGCCTTCCAAACCTCTTCTAGCTTGGAAAAAGCAGCCCTGTTCCCAGAGATGTTGTTCAGACATTCAGGGCAGTGTTTTCCAAACTTCTCAACTGTTTTTTTGTGCTACTGGTTTTACCAGGCTCTAAGCTCATCTGTACCAACACCATCCCTCTATTCACCTGGTGACACAGACTCTAAGACCCATTACACAAGCAGTACGCAACTCTTTGGGAACCATTGCTACAGGGAGTGGTATGATCTTTTATTAGACCAATTGATTTACCTGGAAAATCAGACGGGTATTTGGGCTAAGACATGACAAATGTCACAAAAAAAGAGAGAGGGTGGTGGTGGTGAATATTAGAAAACTTGCCATGCCCACATCTTATTTATATTCCAAAACATATTGTTATTAAAGAGGATGTAGTTAAAGGGGTAAAGGGTTTTCTGGCCACCTAAAAAGTTACTGAGGCAAACGGTCTCTCTGGCTGCTCCAAACTCTTGACACACTACACAACTCATATATGAATTCAAGGGGTCTAGTCCTTGACATTTTCCACGGGGAACTTTCAGGGACCCCTCAGTAAAACCCTCTTCATTTGCAACACTTTCAACGTCTGCAGAAATGAACTCACTGTCCTCCAGGGATATGTGGAAACATAGAGGTCAGCTTTCTTGGGAGCTCTTGAAAAACATTCCTAGGACTTGGGGACTCTGAAAATCATTCCTAGGACACAGCTGGATGATCACAATCACCTCTCTGCCACAATCAAAAGCAGAACTCTCTACTGTGGCATGCTGTTGGTTTCCTACACTTACAAACCATCAGGGATTCAGGGAACGACAGCAGCTTATGATACACACTATACTGAAACAGCAATCACACATCAGATCAGTAAGACACTGTTGAAGAGCCAAAGAGAGATGATCAGACAACAAAAGTAGACTCTGTTCCTATCTATCTGCTTGTCGTACACTGGTCAGGACTGATATAAAGTTAAAAATTTCACAAAAAACAGAGATAAAGAGATGGCGGATAACATGACATTTTTCCTTCTTATCCCCACAGATGCCGCATTTGCTTTCTTGCCATTCGTAGCGTTCCGCTGTGCTCGCACTGGGCCAGCTCTCTGAGCAACCCAAGCTGTATGGTGGACGAGTGCTTGCACAACAGAAGAGGGGAGGAGGACTGGTAGAGCCCACGGGTCCAGAACAAAAACAGGTCATGGCACAATGCAGGGAAAAAACGTGAAACCAGACTGATAAATTTTTGTTCTCCTGATAAAGGTCTGTGAAGGTCTCATCTTCCATGCGTGTGTGCTAATCATTAGGAAAACAGCCCACAGAGGATTTGTTTTTGTTTAAAATTCTGCTGCTGCATCAACGTAACATTTATTTGTGCACTGTGACTTGTTGCCCTAGAGGTCTGCCTCTGCCAAACTCGGCAGGCCATGTCTGATGCTCCTCATGTCATGCATAAACACGGTTTGTAGTTTGTCTTATGGTACAAATGCCTTGCAGGAATCAGGAAAATCTATGACAAATTGGAATGAGCAGAGTGAAATGCTTCCTTTCTGCATCTTGTCACATTGGGCAAGTTCCTTCCAATAAATACTAAAATAAACACATTACAAATCTAGAATGCAATTTAGGTATAAAAGTTCATTTCAGTAAAAAGTACTTTTTAATGGCCCCTTTTTCATTAAAGTGTTTGGTTCTTCAGTTCACTATCCTTATAATTTACTGTTGCAATGAAGCCTTGTTGCTTTGAGTATCTTTGCTGCACCTCTGAACCACAAAAGCACAAAGCATACTTTAAGAAAAGAATCTGCTAATTGCGAGTTTTCCTCACATGAAACAGACTGAAGCAACTGGGATTTCTCTCAAATGCTTTTCAAATGGCTCTTGTTGAACTTTGACTTGTAGCCTTAACTTCATTAGGGAAAATTAGTGTTTCCCACCTTCTATGTAGCATAAGTAACACATGGCAAATACTAGGGACGAGGCAGTGATAGTTTGCTCATGCCCCTTCTCAAAATTCACGTCTAAGGCAGATACTTCCTCAAATAAATGTTCAGAAATAGCAAGAGATTTTTGATTAACCAGCAAGGCAGGCAAACTGTGCATAACCCTGAGGGAAATGAAAGGGAGAACAGAAACAGACAACGATGAGGCAACTGGCTGCCATATCCAAAAGGAGCAATATCTGAAAGCACAACCCCGTGAAACCCGTTTTCTGGCCAGGTGAC